TCTTTTTCCTTCGTCCAGTTTCTAGTTTTAAGTATTCACTAAAAGACTCTATTTTTTTCAACAGAAAAACCCCCACCGTTTATAAGTTCTGCTGTCAACGCGAAWACACTTTTTTTCGGTGGGGTCACCGGAAATGACGTCGCAATGGCTGAGTTTAATATATTTTTCAATCAAAAATTCAGAAAATGTTCTTTAAATATGTATCTTAAATACTGTAAAAAGTTTGAATTAGAATTCCATTTTTTATATAGAAAAAAAAAATTGTTGAAAATATGGTATTTTTTCCCGATGTAAACCCATGTAAACCCCTTAAGGAAATAACAAACCTAATGCCGTGACAGCTTCTCCCGTAAAACTTCGTTGAATATAATAAAATGGTAGACAAGCTGGACCAACTTTCATTGAATAATCAAATTTCTTTTCTGTTTTGACGATAGCAACGTCATTAACACGTGCCGAATAATCAGGATGAATGATTATTTTATTGACTTTGTGAAGTCGAGTCACGTTAGTATCTTGACCTAAATTTAAACAATTTGTTAAATCCCCATTTCATTAAACTATAAGATTATCGTATAAAAGTCATATTTATCTAATAATACACCATAACGAAATGATTGAAAAGTTATTTTCAATGTTATAGATTTTATTAAATGAATATTTAAATAAAAATAAAATAACAATGTTGGACCTGTTGATACGTCGTGTTCCCCAACAATGACTCCTAATATTTCATAGTTATCGACATATTGTATAACACAATGGGCTGCAGTTAACACGTGTCGCGGTGTTATTATGGTTGCACCGCAGAATAAAAAACGTTTGGTAAAATCAACCAAACCTGCCATCATTGGATATTCGTTAATACCAGATTCAACACCTCCTACTATTTTTGACTGTAAATTATCGATAATACAAACATATATTGAAATATTTTTAACAATATTTCTTATTGATTGATTAATAATAATCTTTTTTTTTCAAATTGAATTTTATTTGAAAAATACCAACCGGATTTTTCCAACCGCATTTACATTCCTCTTCGGTAGCCGTTAATGTGCATTGAAATTTACCACCATAAGTGTTGTATCTCGAATGAAATATTATGTTCATGTCAGATCCAATAGATTCTATTGCAAACGAATGCAATCCGCAAAATTTGTATTCGATTTCTTCGCTTATTTTCACTTTCAAGTAATCCATCGTACAATTAGGACTCTGTTTCAACATAGGAAATTTTATAATAATCTATTATTATTATTATTTTTCCTAAGTTATTTTCTTTATTTTTAATTTTTATAATTCAATTTTTTCTAATAGTAAATAATATATTTGAAATGATAACAATGTGTTAAATGGTTGGAAGATTAATTTTACCGGTGGTACGTCGAAAACCGTGCAATTCAATTTTACACGAGTATTACTTGTAGTTTTCCATTGGCAATTATGTTGTCCTATATAATAATCTGGATAGTCAGGATTATATACGTAATAATTGACACCTGGTGATAAATCTTGCGAAAAGTCGCAATCCTCTTCGATACTTTCTTCCGAATTTACTACGCCAAGTAGCATGCAAAATAATGGAACAAATTTTCCTGCAAAACAATGCAAACAAACAAATATATATATATAT